GCATCCATGAACTAAGAATAAGGCTCATCAAAATACGCCAGAGCACAGGAGTAAGAAGAGACATTTTGAAAATTAAATATGAAATGGTAATTATGTAGTAATGAGATTGTGGATATTACAAAGGACACCACCATTTAAACCATCAATCTCAACAGAGTAATAACAGGAAAAACCTTCCAGCTTCATGATTATAATCATAGTTGCCATAACAACTTAGTATCTCTCTCCATGAGCATCTATCTCGGGACTGTATTTTTAGCATTGACTATGCCTGAACATGTATTTTTCTTTATATAGCAGCTAATTCTTCAAATTACTGATCTTAAAAAAAAATTCCATTTTCATTATCACCGAGTGTAAAAGTCTCAGGGATAATTAGGGAAATGAGCAGGTGTGAGAGTCCGTTACAAAAAATGCTACAAGAGTATTGATGTCTTGACAACATTTGTTCCAACAGAATGTTCTCTGGACCTGTACGCACTATTGTTCCTTGTCAAGCAGCTTAACATAAACCTTCTCTGTGGGGCTCATAAATATTTGAAAAATTATTAGCTCTGTAAGGTGTCTGAGAATTATTTGACAAGTAAAGATTTATGTAATTTAACAGAAATTGGCTTAACAGAATCCTGAGTCTCAGGAATGAATGAATGAATAAACATTGCTTTTCCTTGCTTAACAGAAATGCATGTAACAGATTCCCAACTGAAGCAACAATGGTTTTAAAGAACACCGTTTGGAGAACCCAGAAACCAGAAGGGATTCTGAGCTGCCATTTTGGTTTGCAGATTTGCACCTGCTGCTACACACCCAGCTGAAGGGTTTGGTTTATAGCACAGCAGATGTCCAAGGAAAGTTAGCACTTTACCAAGCTCCACTTACACTCCTGGGAGATGTTAACAGCCCTACCTTAGGGTCCCAGACTTAAGTTAAATAAACAAATTATTAGGTGGAGAACAAAAAGTTCTCAGAAACAAGCACTCTATGTTAATGTCATGAAAGACCCTTAGTCATGCAACATTAGTCATGCAACAAAGATTTACTGATAATTTTCTATCTTTCTGTACCCTATCATTTTTATTTACAATGTAAAATTAGCAGAATATAATAATCACTAGCTTATAAAGAGCTTATAAAGGCTGTGCAGGGAGAAATGAAGAGTATGCCTTATCATTGTTGCCCATTGGTGAGCCAGGAGCCCTGCGACCGGGTAAGTTTATGAGCCTGAGTTCTACACATAGGAGTGGGGTTTATACGGGATTGGGAAGCACTTTGAGTTCTTCAATAGAAGAGCAACATTATAAATGGGTGCTTCAGGGAGAAAGCTGTAGCTTCCTGTGTAGTAAGGGCAGCAAGTCATAGAAGCCAGAAGCAGGGAGACCTGCTGAGCAAGTGTTCCAACAGTCTGGCATGGGGCTCTGGACATGCACAAGGATACTGCCTGTGGGAACAGAGGAGGAGGTGAGTTAAAGACTAAGTGCCACAAGAAGCAATAGGATTTACTGATAGGTCAGCTGTGTTAGAAGGCAAAGCATAAATAGGGCAAGATCTTCATCTGAGAGGCTGAAGAATGAGGGGAACCTCCTGGGCAGACAGGCTGGCCTGGGAAGCAGGATGAGGCTTGGAAAGCAAGAGAATGAGGTCAGTTTTGCCATCCTGTCTTCCTAAGCCTCATGAGCTCTGGCTGTGCCCAGCAAATTTCCAGGCGAGCAGCCCCAGAGAGGGGGACCAGAGGTAAACAAAGGCTGGCAGCTCCAGAAGCTGTGCAGTGGGCTGCTGCGTGTGGGGAGAATTGGTGTCAATGCAATCAATTCTTAGAAATGCTGGATCTCTCAGGATGCTGAGCAGCCTGTCAACCCAGAGTTCCATGTGTCCCCAAGTATCTGTTGGCGTGGTTTCCTCCCAGTTTTCACAACAGCATCGTATTGTTTACAGATGGAATATCTCAAGCCAAAGTAACTTTCCCTAGGGCGAACTGAAAATGATGTCAGAGGGTAGAGGTGATAGTGAGGAGAAGGCCCAAGTTGCAAGGGGCATCCATGAACTAAGAATAAGGCTCATCAAAATACGCCAGATCTACAGAGCACAGGAGTAAGAAGAGACATCTTGAAAATTAAATATGAAATGGTAATTATGTAGTAATGAGATTGTGGATATTACAAAGGACACCACCATTTAAACCATCAATCTCAACAGAGTAATAACAGGAAAAACCTTCCAGCTTCATGATTATAATCATAGTTGCCATAACAACTTAGTATCTCTCTCCATGAGCATCTATCTCGGGACTGTATTTTTAGCATTGACTATGCCTGAACATGTATTTTTCTTTATATAGCAGCTAATTCTTCAAATTACTGATCTTAAAAAAAAAATTCCATTTTCATTATCACCGAGTGTAAAAGTCTCAGGGATAATTAGGGAAATGAGCAGGTGTGAGAGTCTGTTACAAAAAATGCTACAAGAGTATTGATGTCTTGACAACATTTGTTCCAACAGAATGTTCTCTGGACCTGTACGCACTATTGTTCCTTGTCAAGCAGCTTAACATAAACCTTCTCTGTGGGGCTCATAAATATTTGAAAAATTATTAGCTCTGTAAGGTGTCTGAGAATTATTTGACAAGTAAAGATTTATGTAATTTAACAGAAATTGGCTTAACAGAATCCTGAGTCTCAGGAATGAATGAATGAATAAACATTGCTTTTCCTTGCTTAACAGAAATGCATGTAACAGATTCCCAACTGAAGCAACAATGGTTTTAAAGAACACCGTTTGGAGAACCCAGAAACCAGAAGGGATTCTGAGCTGCCATTTTGGTTCGCAGATTTGCACCTGCTGCTACACACCCAGCTGAAGGGTTTGGTTTATAGCACAGCAGATGTCCAAGGAAAGTTAGCACTTTACCAAGCTCCACTTACACTCCTGGGAGATGTTAACAGCCCTACCTTAGGGTCCCAGACTGAAGTTAAATAAACAAATTATTAGGT